ATATATATGTATGTATGTATATATTACATATTAATTTTTCTATATATTTATATATACACATACACTTATTAATATTTATGCTAATATGATTATGAATGAAGAATAAACTCATATTCATATTAGTATATATAGCTATGTTTTTTATTAGTATATAACTAATATATGTATATGTATGATTATGTATATATATATATATAGATACATATGAGTGCTTTATTTATTTAATATATATATGTACTATATAGTATTCATTTATATATACACACATACATATATATAACTATACTTATATGTATATTAATATATTAACTTATTAATCTATTAACTTATTAATACAGCGATATTGATATATTAGTATTGACATATTTCTGTATCATTATTATAAATAATGTTAATATTAATATTAATATTCATATGCATATCAATATTAATATTAATATATAAATATCAACATATATATATATATATGTATAACTCACTCATCGGCTGCTTGTGTTAGACCCTGAGTTCTGCACTTTCAAACCTTTGGCGACTGTGTGACTGTGCGGTGCATTGGTGAAGATTGTGGAGACGTTCCCCAAAGTGGTCCAACAACAGATCGAACTGCGGAAGTGCATGAGGTACGATCCTGCCAAAGTGCTGCAGCAGCTCAAGATGGAGAAAGGCCAGGAGCTACGCGAAGCTCGAGTGCTCCGAGTATGGTACGCACGAGGTCAGGGTACTCTAGGGAATCCAGGATGCCAAGTGTCAAGTTGCAGCAGGTGTCCCACGACGACGCCCGAAAATGCGGTTGCATAGAGGGTTCACATGCCACAATGCTTGCAACCTATCGAGAGTCATGCTTTATCTTACCAACGAGGCGACTCACGGAGATTCACCAAGACAATCATCGGAGTCGCTGAGTGCTTTGCCGCCGCCCTCAAGCGGACACCCTTGGCTGGCTGAACTGCGGTTCTAGGATGTGCCGCAGGCTACTCATCTAAACTCCCTACTCTACGAAACAGACTCCTTTTTCTCAGGGCTTCAAGCCATCACGATCCCGGAACCGTGGACAAGTCGCCTCAAGACTTCGCGCTTGGAGAAAAGCTCCGGCAGAGCAGGTTTCGTTTGCAGAACATGCACAGCCACTTGCAGCCAGCCAAGACAGATCCATCGGCATTTGCGTGAGCTTGTGAAGCGGATATTTCTCACGGAAGCCGGAAGCCGCCATCCAGTACTTCAATCATTTGCGTGTCTTGCAGTTCGTTTCGTCGGTGTAGGGTTCTAGTTGGATTCTCGCAGTTGTTTTCCAACATCTCGGTATGTCTTCTGCCCCCTTGTCAAGCAGATTCGTTGATTACGCTGGCTTCGATGGGCCGCTAGCCACCACCGCTGAACATTGTGCACATCGTTTTGCCGATGAGTTTTGTGGTATGCGGTCATGTGCAGTAACAGCAAGATCCTAGAGACGACCCATCCTCGTCACGAACATGGCAACAGAGGCGCCAGCCAAATTTGTGAAACAGCAGGAAGCTTCACAGCTAAACTCAGCTAGGCTAGACTCTGCCAGAATTGTCGGGCACTTGCCAGGCCAAAACAAAACATCGTAGCCAAAATCGGGTGAGATGTGTTTGTGTGGGTCTTCTTGTAAAGGGGCCTGAGTTGAGTCAGTAGATTGGTATGCGTAGTTTGCGCTCTACACTGATCATGACTGCACTTTGCCCTCGACATGTACCGCGAGTGGTCCATGACCAGCAACGTCACAGAAGCGCAAGGTTGGTCCAGCGCAGCGGGTGCTTCGCAGGTGCCGTTGGCGTCACCCTCATCACCCGGTCCTTTACCTTCGGCTCCCTGTGTGTGCAAGGGCGTGGGTTTCGACGCATTCGCCGGTTGGGTCAGCGTGCGGCAGCAGCTCCACGATTGGAAGAGTTGGAAGTGCTGGCCAACGAGATTCGCATCTCTCGCGATATGGGTCCAGCACAGGAGAACTTGGAGGACTTGGCTTATTATGCTTTCCCTTCATGCTACACCAGAGGTGATGGAAGCCAAAGGGGCTTCTGCAACTGGCTTTTGCGAGACGTGTTAATGGTTGGAAGATACCCATACTGTGATCCCTTGGGTGACTTCCCGAGCAAGGAGGAGGGTCGGCGACATTTGAAGAAGATGCTCGACGTGGGCATAACAGCTTTCGTGTGCATGCAAGCTGAGATCCCATCTCCTGCGCCAGAAAACCTGAAAGCATGGCCATGGGAAGGCGTGTCACTTCAGGCAACTTGGATCATTGGGCAACTAAGTAGCATCACATGTCATCATGTCGAGCATGCTGATATATGGCTACGGTTCGCATGATGATAGGGAAGAGGAGCAGGAGGAGGACGACGACGAATGCTACCGCCGCAGCATCTGTCATGTGTGACTGGCACTATATGCCATTACTCCTGACAGAGCTGTCCTTTTCCTATTGTTCTAGCATCCTAACTTGCCCCGGGCAGCCTGCAGTCCTGAGCAAATGAAAATCTATGTAACAGTCTGAGTTGCCCGAGACAGCACTTGGAGCGGACTTTTGCCCATCTTCTGAACACTGAGGAGTTCGACATGCCTCGGCGGTTCTTGCCTTATGGTCCGGTTGTGAAAGAGGAGGCCGCGTCTATGGGCTTGGAGATTCCTCGATTCCTGCACTGCCCGGTGCGCAGCTCAGGCATCATTAGGCAATCGGCCATCATGTTCCGAATACAAAGTCCTAGTGGGCACTGAGGTTTCAAGCTGCTGTTTGAGCTAAACATACTTGACGGATGCTCCCAGGAGCCCGGAACGACAAGCAAGTTTACTCCCGAAGTTCCATATTCTAAGCCCCGTGTCTTGTCATTGTTGGCTTTTAGCACAAGGTGCCAGACATGCACGTTCCCAAGGAGGAGCAGCTGATGAGGCTCGCCGTCTCCCTAAGCCCGTACTAGGCAGAACCCAACACTTCACCAGTACAGTCTGCAGCTGCCGAAGGGTGTTTGAGCTTCCATGGACCCGCACCCAAGCTACCGTACACACAGACCCCTGTACCCCAAATCCCGAAGACTGAACTCTGCGTCCCCGAAACCGTCTTCGTGAACCTGTCATCCAGGCTTCTTCGGGACTGTCTGATCGAGCTGCAGAACGGAGGGCGTCTTTACATTCACTGCTTTCTGGCCTTCTCAGCTGGCCTGTCTCGTTAGGGAACCCTGAAATCGAGAATTGAAGTACGGTTTTAGGGGTGGAATTCGCAGGCCCCACTCTCGTGAGACGGAGAAAGGGGGCAATAGAGTTCTCAGTTCAGCCGACCAGGAGAGATCAGGGTTCATGACTTCATGAGGATTCATGAGTGTTGTTGCATGGGTTGTGGTCTCGGGTGAGGTTGGGGCGGTCTCGGCCGCGCAGCAGTGACCAGCGCCTGCCTGCTTGCCTTGCTGAGGCATCCGCGCGCTTCGAATGTCACGTGAGGGTAGATCTAATACTCCCCCCCGCTCTTGACTTAGTAATCAGATTAGTGAAGTCACCTCTATCAAAAAAAGTCCGTGCTGAAGAACGCGAAAAGGCGCAAGATCGTGCAAGGGCTTCACCTGTAAACTTCAAGGACAAAGTCAAGTTCTCCGTTTTGGGTCGTGGGGTATGCAAGGGGATCTGGCCGGTTCATTCAATTCACGTTGACGTTCTGCCATTGGCCTGCGAGAGCTGAACGGTTTCGGGCTTGTCTTGATGGGCTCAGCTTCAGAGCTTCTGTGACGGGCAGCTTCACATGGAGTCGACGTTCCAACTTTGCAAGCAGTTCGCCTAGGCAAGTTGGGACGTTTTGTTGCGACCCAGAGACCTCCATTTGTGGAAGTTCTGTCCTTGCTAGGTGTCCTGCTGGCTTAAGCATTAAAGCTTCGAGAGAAAGAGGCGCCGGGTTCGAGAGCTGCCTTGCGCCGAAGACTTGTGGTGGTTTGAGCGGGATCGAAAGCTTGGCTTCAAACTTCTTGAAGCCAAGCTGTAAAATGGATGTCGTGCGTCGCCAGGTGGTTGTTGGATCCTGGTACGGCCCAACCCCAGAGGTTGAAGCCCCAGAGCCGCATACTGCAGAAAACCTGGAACAAAGCACGCCTGACTCCCGACCACGACGGAGCTTCGTGCGCATCAAGAACATCCAGGGTACCCTTACTTAAGGTGTCGCTTATTCAAGAACAGCTGCTAGCGCGAGGATCGAGGACTGTAGTGTAGGAGCCCAACCGAGAAGCCCCCGCCACCCCTCCGCCGTTTCGGAGAAGGCCAGAGCTTGGTCCCAATGAGGTGCTGCTCTGCACCCAGGCCCTCAGGGACGGGAACTGGAGATGTTTCTTGGGTGCATACTGGTGTTGAGATTCTCAATCAAACAAACAAATAAACCGACGAAACAAGAGCACACACATACACACACGCACACGCTGACTCACTCAGAGAGAGAGAGAGAGAGAGAGAGAGAGAGAGAGAGAGAGAGAGAGAGTCGCATGCATAGGGAAGAGCAAGAAAGCTCTTCCGATCCGCACTGTTTGCATCAACAGTTTTGCCTTGTCCTGCACTTTTATCAGTGTGTGCTCGTACTCAAGATATCCAGATGCGTTCTTACAACTTGCAATCGAAGGTTCTGTACGTTCCGGGGGACGCAGTCCACAATATCACTCCTCTCCTGTTGGCGGGTAAATCATCCTAAAATTGCACTCCGAAAGATCCGCAAGAAGCGGGCGGGCTAACTCCGCGGGGACCTGACAAGTCCTTAAGCCTGTGAGAAGAAGAGTCGCCAAAGCCACCGTCACAGATCCTTCGCCTTGCTCAGCACGTCGGTTTGCTCTTATCTCTGGCACGTCCGATGCGCAGTGCAACGAGCGCAAAACTCCCTTTTCAGACTTTTGGCCTTCCAGAACTCTCGTGCCATGCAGCAAAGGTCCATGCAGAATGTCCTCAAGCGAAACCACTCGGTGCAGAGGTTTGCCCCGTGCTCTTGGATCGCCTTCGGTGCCTTGCTGCCACTTGCAACCTGAAGCTTGTTCCTTGGCTTTGATGGATCAGGTTTCCGGCTTTCAATGCCTGGGCATTCTGTTTACGACTCGCAGCCAGAGCACTGGAAGAGACCCTGTGACCACCCAATAGTCCACGCACAAGAGGCGTCGCCACATGCAAATGATGCTGCAAGACAAAGCCACAATGTTATATCCTGGACCAATCCGGCATTGCCCAGCCGAGCTCGTCCGTTCCTTTAGAGACATGAGCGCAGCACCAGCAATGACGCATAGACAAACGGACAATGGCCATGCTAATGAACCTTTCACAACAAGTCGCCCAAAGCATCGCGCAGCAAGCGTTCAAACATGTGAACCAACGTCGCCACGGTAGCAAGACTACACTTTGCCGCTGGTTTGTGACGCACGTCGCGTTCACGCAACGTATCCTCAACCATCGCAATACGCGCATGGTGCTGTGCAAAGGCTTGCTCAAAACGGGCGTCAACGTCGCCTTGTCGCGAAGCCGCGTGGCTGGCAAGAGCATGTTCAAACCGGCTTTCCAACCGGGCGTCATGTTGTGTGAAGAGGTCCTTCATCTGCTGAATGAGGTCACTATGATTGCTCTTGATGTCAACCTCCAATGATTGCACCTTCGAGGAAAGTTCATGAACCTGGGAATCGGTAGCCACGACAGCATGTTGAACCTGGGAAAGGGCCTTTACATTGCTGGCGCTGATTTGCTGGCAAACGGTCAAGCGCTGTTCCGGTTTTCATGGGGCGCGCTAAGCTCCTCACGGAAGAACGATGGCACTTCCGCCTTGTAGAATCTTGCAAGCAATCAAACCTTTCTTGAGCGGGGCATTGGCAGACGGACAGAGCGATACGGACAGACAGAGACAGAGACAAACCGACAGACAGACAGAAAGACAGACAGAGACACAGACACAGACAGAGACACAGACAGAGACACAAACAGAGACATATACAGAGACACAGACAGAGACACAGACAGAGACACCGACAGAGACACTGACAGACACACCGACAGAGACACAGACAGAGATTGATAGACAAACAGACAGACAGACAGACACAGACAGAGACAGACAGACAGTCACACAGTCACACAGCCCACAAACACACGGTCACACAGACACACAGACACACACATACACACAGAGACACAGACACAGGCCTTTGCCTTCGTTCGGTCAATGCCGAAGTTTGCCGAAGGGAAAGAAAGCCAGAAAAACGGATGGAGAGAGGGAGAGACTGTGGCGGCACGGAGAGCGAGCGAGAGGGAGCAAGCGACGGAGGCTGAAAACGGTCTCGTACACGGGCTTTGCACCGCCTTGTTCACATAGTTCTGGGCTTAGAGCGCAGTAGCTTTCAGGACTGGTGGGTTGAAAGGTTGTTTATTGGGGCTCATTGGTGGCTTCTTGATCATTTAACACTTGTATCTAGAACAAGCAGGAACAACTTCAGCGCAGGTCATCGTAGAATCCGGGCCACATGCCCGAACTGCATCCCGAACTACCGCAGAGGCAGGCTACGACTCACGCATCGGTGGCGCCGACTATGCTTCGCCTCAGACCATGGCAAAGGTCTCAGCGAGTCCTCGAGAAGAAGCTAGCTTACTTCATGCCTGCAGCTGCAGTGAGGGGAGATGCTGCCTCGTGCAAGCTTGCTTCCTGAAGCGCACCTCGTCCTCGTTGATCGCACTGTGCAGTTGTGCCGGCATACCGGTAGGCTTGGGTCGCTTGGCTTGTGCAGTGAGGCCCAGCGGAGCAAGGTGCACGATTTCACTCGGGCGCTGGCGTATTTGAGAGGAAAGGAGTCCTGACTGCAGCAGCGGCAGAAAATGACAGCACTACCATGTCCTCCGGTTGCAAACTGCGAGCACGTCGATATGAGTTGTTTTTTTGTTTTTGCATGGCTTCTGTTTAGCTTGTTTAACAACACCGCTGCGACTCAGAGGATCCGTGACGTCGCTGTTTGTGATGAAGACTAGAATTCTCCTCCTCAGACTCCCGCGCTGTGTCAAGCACAGCCAAAGACAGCACGGTTTCCCAGCACACCTGAATGTCGTGACCTGGGCTTCGTCATTATATACTTCTTTCAAGGCTTTTCGTCTTTCACAAGCTATCATGGGGCGGAGCCGTAAACAGAGCGTGCGGATATGTAGGTCTCGCCTCGCACCGGCAGCCCAAGGTTGATCTAAACATTTCAAGCCTTGAACAATTTCATGGGGAAGAGGGTTTGGTCCGATCTTAGCCGTCGGTGTTTTCCTGGCAGTGACGGCTACTACATAGTTGTAAACGACTGCTGGTCTACACAAAGCCGCACGACGCGCACCCAGAATGCATACGTGTGTGTATGCATGTATGTATGTATGTATGTATGTACGTATGTATGTATGCATGTGCGTATGTAAGTATGCATGATGCATGCATGCATGTATGTGTGTGGATTGTGTGTGTGTGTGCGTGGTACGTGTTTAAGTCTGTGTATGTGTATTTGTCTGAATGTATGCACATATGCTTGTATGTATATACGCGCGTTTGTTTGTCTGTCTGTTTGTCTGTCTTGTTTCATGCAAATACTTCATTATGTACAGCGTACAAGATGTGCAGACTTATTGGATTCGCACAGAGACAGCATGAGACAGCGACAGAGATGTGGGCGCGGACATAGACAGAGAACAGACATAGACATACATAGACATACTTCCATACATCATACATGGGTACTTACTTACTTACCATGTCTTTTTCACATCACTTTATATGGTTGTTGCATTGCATCTCATTTCATTTCATCTCATTTCATTTCATTACTGTACACGTCGCGACCATACATCACGTTCCATCCCGTTGCATGGCATTGCATTTACATGGCAATACGTACCTTTGTGCATGCAAGCAGACGAGCAGACAGAAATGTATACATACAGAGTTACATCCGCACGTACTTATCACATACACAGATGCAACACTGCGCATACATGCAGTGCATGGATGCGTGCAAAGACGCATACTCTACCACATCAATTTAGTCCTGCATGCAGGCATATGTACCTACTTGCATGCACTACACACATATGATCATTCATGCAAGTATGTATATATGTATGTATACATATATATATATGTATGTATACATATATATATATATGTGTATGTATGTATTTTATTTTAATTACAAAGTTCTTATATGTATAGATATGTACATGATTCTTGCTTCTTGCTGACTTGCTGATTTAAGCACTCACTCACCCACTCACTCGCCCACTCACTCGTTTGACTTACGCGTACATGCATACATACAAGCATGCATGCACTCACTTGTACGCTCACCCGTACGCTCTGACTGATTGAGGGACTGACTGACTTACTTCATTGCTTACTTACCTGTTTATGCCTGCTTTCTTGACCACTTGCTCGCCTGTTCAACCCCTCACTCACTCACTCGCTCACTTACTCATCACTTACTTGCTCACTTACCTGCATATCATATCACAACTTTATCATCTCGTATCAGCCTTCGGTCTGCCACCACGCCATGCCAGACCACACACCATGCTCTATTTTTCGCACGCAGACCACATATGCCAAAGTCCTGATCGCGTATAGACCTTGTTCGTTATTCCTGAATAGCGCATGGTGACGACACAACTTCCTCAGACTTTCCCAGCCAGAGAACTTGGCACCCAGCAGGGGCACGAACGAGTCTAGTGGGAGCAAGGGATTCATCACTTCAGGATGAATGCATCGCCTGATTGATGGACTGAGGTACAATGGCGGGGTGCTCTCCGGGAGGAGGATATCATGTGAAGTTGTCGGACGCCCAGATGAAACTGTGATGGCGACACTTGCCTGGCGATCTTCTGGGCATACGTCTCTATGTCCACATGCTCCACCCGGATGTGCCTCATTGCCAAAGGCCCTCAAGCTCTTCAACCGGAAATGCTTAAGATTTAAGACTCGAAGAGACATTTGCCGGAGAACAACAATTGAAAGCTTTCAAGCCGCAGCACGCGGAAGCACTCCAAGTTCCTAGCGAACAAATCCGCTGGCAGATCTGAGCTTCTTGGACCCGAACCCAGTAGCTACTCGATGCCGAAGGACTTCTGGGATCTGCAAGGTTTTTGACATTCAGCCTTCGGCGGTTTTTGGATTGTGGGGGTTTGAAGTGTTTCCAGCAACTCGCCGTCGCAAGCCGCCAAGACTTCCCTGGTCATGGGTGTTCGGGCGTTGGGCCTGCGATGGGTCAGGGGTTGCTCATCCCTTGTCGTGATGTCGCTGTGTATGGGGATGGCATCGAGTACTTGACTTACATGATATCAGCCATCGAGAGAGTCAGTGGCAAGGGGTATAGGCTCTTCGTGGATACTCGTGAAGCTGTTCCTCGTTGAAGTTGGCGCTTCCGCCGGCATCAGCATTCTTGGAGCAGCGCATGGCTTTTGATTACTCACCTTCTTTTTAGAACACAACCTGGATGACGCTCAAAATCGGCAATTTTGCAAAGTTCACATGCGACATGTGGTTGAAAGAGCGTGGTCGCGTGAGGGTCGGATCTTGTGGGTCCTGCTCAGGTCGGATTCGAAGGTTTGGGGTAGCCAGTATTGTAACCAACAACAGTACATCAAACAACCCGTGACAGAGAGGCACAGAGACGGAGGGAGAGAGAAGAGAGGCTCATGTGATCCAAACTTAGATTGCAGAAGGGACAGTCAGATAGCATTGAGGCTCCCTTGCGATTGATGTAAAGTGAATGATGTTTCCAGCAGCTTTAAGCAGTAGAACCAGCTGGTTTGCAGGATACTTTGACCCCCAGTGTTTGATAGTTCCAACTTCCCGCAGTGAGATCCGGAAGCTCCCAAACATTTCCTGGAAAGGGGCGAGCGTTGTGCATTCTTACTTCCCTAGCCAGAAGGAGTGTTCAATCCTGGATGCATCAGAGACGTTACAAGATTCCCGGCATCATCGGCAGGAGGCGAAGCTCTCGCTGACGTGTTTTGCAAGCGAGAGGTCGGGAGGCATGCCTGGTCTACCATTTCATAGACAGGAAGTCGTGCTCAGCTTCCGTTACTTTAAGGCCCCTAGGCCTGCATTGCTAACAACCACAACAAGCAGCAACAACAACAACAACAAGAACAACAACAACAACAGCAGCAACAGCAACAGCAACAACAACAACAACGACAACCACAACGACAACGACATCGTTCAACGACAAATTGACAAAGGCAACATCAGCAGCAATACCCCCCACCACCACCACCACCGCCGCCGCCGCCACCAGCACCACCAGCACCACCAGCACCACCAGCACCACCACCACCACCACCACCACCACCAGCAGCACCAGCACCAGCAGCACCAGCACCAGCACCAGCACCACCGCTACCACCACCGCTACCACCACCGCCACCACCACCGCCACCACCACCGCCACCACCACCGCCACCACCACCGCCACCACCACCACCACCACCACCACCACCACCGCTACCGCCACCGCTACCAACACAACACCAACACCACCAACAACAACCACAACAACAACAACACATGTTGGGCTTCTCGCAGATCGTGGTTTCTGTCGTGATAGCCTGTGGTGTTACGGGCTTGCTAGGTATACGCGGCATGCAAGCACAACAGGTCGAGGACTCAACATTGCCAGAAGCATATTCCCGGCATGTTCTCAACAGGTGTAGGCTAGCGTGGTTGCAGAATAAGCTGTGCATGCTGCTAGAAACGCTGAGCCTTGTCCGTGCTCGGTGTTTATGATGTTTCGGAAATGTGGGATTTGCCGACTTGGGAGTTTTAGCACTATTTCTTATTGCTCGTCTTGTTTTTTGCTGCAGCACTTCAGTTGGGATGCCCACTCTTAAAGAGGAGTCGCTTGTCAACATCCTTTTGGCTTGGCCAGGCCTTGGCGATGAGACTCTGGTCGCCGAAGGGGTCTTACGCGCAAGTCCCATCGCTGAAGGGGTGCTGCACGGCCCTCGGACTGCGAGGTATCCGCAAACAATGGGCCATGAATATTGCAACATGTTCAACAACCTGGCCGTGGCTATAAGAACAGCCAGGCACCACAGTTTCGTTTCCGCGGTCATCTTGTGGTTTGGACGCAAAGACCTGAACAACTGATACACGGATGCCACTTGTTAAACCTGCTAAACTTTAAACGATGAGAGCACCAAGCTATTGCTGGAAGCTTAGTCTGAATTACGATACAGCGGCAGATCTGGTCCGAAGAGTATGTGGCCAGTTAATCAGTAATTATCATATGCGCATGTATATGTATACATATGTATATATATATATGCATACATATGTATGTGGAGCGTTTATGTCTATGTATATGTGTATGGTCAGGTATAGGTATACGCTTGCAAACACATGTAGAGGTTTAAATATACAAAGATGTAGATGTTGTGGAGCTTGTGTGCTGGTTTGTGTGCCCGTAGTTACATCCAAGCCTTGGGATCCTGATGATGCAGATGGTTTCCTCTCTGCCGGCCATCCATGTCGTGGTAAAGGACTTTCAGGACCACCGTACCACACACAGGACTTGGCACGGCACATGTCAATACAACAGTATGTGATACAAATCTTCATAGTTAGTGGAATGAAAGGAGAAGACAGTCGTCAGTGTGAGGCGAGAGCCCAGCGCAGTGGCATCGGCCAGACAGCTTGCCGCCTCAGCTGTTCATGGATCTAGTGCTGCTGCTTGCGAGCGGAAAGAACCAGCTGCTGCTGTCGAGTTCAGAGTCGCTGCTGTCCGCTTGTGTTCTGACTCCGAGTGTTGAGCTTTTTTCTACCGGACACTGACATGGTCTTAGCAATGAATGCGCAACTTAGCAGCTGTAGCTTCCAATGTGGGTGCATAACGAATATCAGGAATGTGTAGTCGCTGGTTGGAGTTGCTTAGAATAAATGTGGTGATTGTTGATCCCCCGAGGCCCGAGGCCCGTTCCCACACCCACCAGAAGCCTTGCCAGGAGCAAGATGGCTCTGGGGGTGCTTCCGGTGGATTTGTTTTCAGTCATGCCGCCGATGTACTACATTAATATGTATTTGTAATGCCATTTTCGACGCCATGCACATGCAAACTCAAATGGCGTAATGTATATAACGTAATGAGATGTACTGTACTGCAATGTGCAGTATTTTTAATGTAATGTAGTGCAATGCGATGCATCAATAATATACTGTGGTGTACTGTAGCATAATGTACTGTAATGTTACAGAAGCTAGCGTACTGCAATTTAAGGCAAGCAGTGAAGGCGAAGCTTTAGCCGTGAGGTGAGTATTTGTGCACGCTTGCACGCATTCAGTGGCACAGGGGCACGGTCCCGGAGTTTATCAGCCCCTGCTGCTTGCAGCCTAAAGCCACAAAGCCTGCGCAAAGCCAAGTGCAGTGTGCACCTGGTTTGTACTGTTGAAGGAAGCAGAACGGCAACTCTAACAGCAGCAACAGAGATATTGGTAGCGGTAAGGTAACTATGGCATGCATACTTGTATCAGACTTTAACAGCCTTGCAACGTAGCCATTTTGGCTCAAGTGCCTCTGATTTTGACAGGTTCTTCAGTTAGCCGCTTGCCTCAGTCATGGCCGATCAGCCTGCTGAGCAGTCCTGGGTGGACCAGGTACGTGGCACTGAACAGGACCTGATAGACGTCATCAGCCGCGATGGCGATCTAGTCGTGGAGGCCTTGTCGAATATCCCTCCGGAGGCTCGTGGTCGTCTTCAGACTATGATAGTCCTGGCAGAGGAGGTGGTGGTTCAGGCCGCACATGGCTTTCAGTTTGTCATAGACACTGGGCTTGGCACTGCAGCTTGGTACCCAGCCTCAGAGACGGAGACAGCCGATGAGGACACAGCCGAGCCGCCTACGGAGTCTCAGCCCGCACAGGAGTCTACAGGACAGGCTTGGGCTGATGCTACAGACGCTCCTGGACCAGTCTTGACACTGCACTCGGCGCCCTCTGTGCAGCCAGCTCCTGCTCAGACTCAGGTTGCTCAGACGCTTCAGCCGACTGCACACTCAGGCTCTGGTAGCCGACCAGCCTGTTACTCAGGTCCAGTCGGCAGTCAGCCAGAAGCCTGCACCCCAGTCTTCCCCAGCCCCCTTCTCCAAGAAGGCCACCCAGACGAAGCAGCCGCCTCAGACGCCAGCCGCACAGCAGGTTCAGGTTAAAGCTTTGCCCAAGAAAGCCCAACCTCAGCCGCAACCTCAGACTGTGCAGCCGCAGGTCGCAGACACAGCCCAACAGTCAGCCCCCCCGCAGCCGGGTCAGCCGATTGCTAAGGCCCCCACAGTCGCCTCCCCACCCGATCTGAGCCAGCCAGCTCAGAGAGGTACACCTGGGGTATGGGACAGTTGCGGCAGCCCCCACCTCAGCCACGACAGCCGGTGCTTGAGCGCCCCTTTCAGCCGGACCAGGCGGCCCTCGCGGCCTTTCCTAACAGACTCGTTGATTACAACGCAGGCCTGTTCTTCGCGAGGTACGACTCAGTCGGAGATTCAGGACTCCTTCCAGACGCATGGCCTTACAATGCAGCCTTTGCACCATTGTGCATCAGCCGCAACCCCCCCCCCCCTGCCTCGCAGTCTTCGCGAACACGGACATCGCACGTCCGGGCTCTGCTTAGCCACCTGCCCCCAGTGCAACAGGCGATCCTGCTCAAGAGCAGTCACTACGTCCAAGGACGGTGGTGTCGCTCACAGGCACCACGAGTGCTCAGACTGTCACAGCCGCCGTGGAGGCAGACGCCACAGGTAACCTCAGTCAGAGCCTCAGTCACAACAGCAGTTGCCCAGCCGTTTGAAAGCGCGCGCCCTTGCCAGCCTAAGGCCTTTAGCCCTGGACGTCAGTACAGTACAGCCTGAGCAGCAGCCCTTTTCAGCCTAACAGGTGGTCGTTGTAGTCGACCCGAGTTTGGGCCGCGTTGCTCTGCTTTAGGCGCAGGCTTGTGCACAGACAGCCCTAGCAGCCGTCAGCCAGGCCTTGTGGCCCTTCACCACAGACTAGTTTCGGTAACTCTGCTGTTGCAGTCGACAGCTGGGCTTGTCAGCTTGTAGCCTCAGACCGGCTTGAGCCGCAAAAGACAGCAGCCGTGCTTGTGCACTGTTGCGAGTCTACTTCAGTTTGAGGCTTGTGCCCTGACACTCTATGCTGTTGCCGCCATACCCTCCTTTCGGCTTGAGCTGAGGGGAGACTAGCCCCTGTGGGTCTAGCCTGGCGCAGGCAGGTGTAGTCTGGCTTGTGCCACCTTCTGCCCGAACTTGCAAGCCGCACTTGTGTGCACAGGCTTTGGGCAGCAAGGCAAGTCTGGTCTTCAGGCACAGTCCCAAGCTGCATGACTTGTGTCTGCGGTCCTCGCTTGGGCAGGTGCGCAGCAAACCACAGCCAGAGCCACAGCCCTCTTTGTCCTTGTGGACTTGACATATGGGGCCTTGTGGCCTCAGGTCTTTCAGTCACTCACTGCAGTCAGTGTGCAGCCAGGCCTGGAACAGTGGGTTTCTCTGTCTTCTTTGGCCGCCAATTTGACATGTGCCTTTGCGGCGTGCGGACAGGCACCCTACAGATGTCGGCAGTGAGTGACAGCGAGGTCACCTTTAGGGCCAAGGCCCTACAGCACGGGATCCCTGAGACGTCACTCCAAGCCTGGAGTCGTGCAGGGATCAAGACATACTCTCAGCTGCTTTTTCGTGTAGCCTCAGCCCCCAACAATGTGGACTCAGCCAAACTGCAGGAGTTGCTTCAGAACATGGAACCTCAGGCCACGGACCAGGTCACTAGTGCCGTGCACCGTCTCCTCTTTGAAGCGGGGACTTTCATCGTCGCGGAGTTGCGCAGTACCCTTGAGGGTCCGACAGGCAAGCCCAGCCATAGGCTGTCCACTCAGGAACGCTCCAGCCGGTTGCAGGCGCTCCAGGCAAAGCTCGGATCTTTAGATCTCCGGGCAATACGAGCCTAGCCACCAGCTAGTTGACGCTTTCAGTGCGATGCTTGCAGACCAGTCGATTAGACATGTGCCGCTCAATCGATGCAGCACAAGAGAGCACGAGATTGCAAATGTCAAGAGGGATGAGCATTTGCTCAAGCGCGGAGTTTGTCCAAGCCGCAGCCCCTCAAAGTAGACCTCAGCACTGAACTTAGGCTGGCACAGGCACTGAGCAGGCGAGGTCTTGCCATTGAGATGGCAGGCATGGGAACCTTTGAAGTGCACGAAGCCTACTCCAGGAGCCTTCTCGAGCACTTGCACAGACCGCCCCCAGCCAGGTTCGATGCTCCAGGCATTGATGCAGTCTTGCGTGCAGACCGTGAGTTGTGGATTCGCGTAGCAGAGGAGGTAGGCAGTGACTCTGTTGGACCAGGCAAGGCCTCAGTCGTTGATGATGCCGTGCAGAAGTGGCAGCATAGCATGCAAGTCGCCTTCTTTCTAGTGCCCGTCCCCAAGCCAGAAAAGCCTGAGAAACAGCCACCCAAGCGGACATGGGAGCAGACCACTGCCCCCACTTTCACCGACAAAGGTGGGAAGGGCAAGCACAAAGGCAAGTTCATGTCTCAGGCCTGGCAGACTGGCAGATTAGGCAAAGGGAAGTCCAAGACAGGCAAGGACAAGCAGACAGCCGTTCCAGCCGCCCTCAAGGGCCTTGATCCCAACTTCCAGGGACAGCCAGTCTGTTTTAATTACAGTCTCCCACATGGTTGCCAAGAACAGACATGGGAGACGGAACTTGGAACCTCGTGCCGCCGAGGACTTCATCTTTGTATGAAGTGTCATGGCACTCATAGTTTCTCTGCATGCGACAAATGAGCCTTCTTGTGTCAGACAGAAAATCAGACTGCGCATCCAGCCGACACAGTTCAGCCCCAAGTTAGCCTGAATGCAGCTGCTCAGGACTTGCCAGACTCAGGAACAGAGGAAGTGATTTTCGTTCCAGACACCGCGACAACCTCAGCCTCGCAACCAGAGGCCGAACTTCAGGCTACGACGCCTGAGGAAACTAAGTCACAGTCGCAGCCTCAGCCGGTTGTCACCTCAGGCACAAGTGAGTCAGTCACTGCGCAGACTGAGCACGCTCCCAGCTCTACCCCGCTCGGAACCCTTTTTCTTGAACTTTTCGCAGGCACAGGCAGGATGTCGAAGGCATTTTCTCGCTTCGGCTTGCAGGTGCTCGCAATCGACTCAGTCAAAGTTTCAGGTGTCCCGTCTCTTTCGATTGACTTGTCAAAGCCACTTAGCCAAAAGCTGGTGCTGGACTTAGTCAGATCCAGGCGACTAGCAGTCGTGCACCTCGCGCCACCGTGTGGCACAAGTAGCCAGGCGCGCAACATTTATGCAGGCCCAGGCTCTCCTCAGCCCTTGCGCTCTGCGGCGCACCCAGACGGACTGCCGGGCCTTAGTTTTCTTCAGAAACACAGAGTTTTCACTGCAAACAAGCTTATAGATTCACAGCAGAAGTCATCGCAGCCTGCCAGCAGCATGACGTACTCTGGTCAGTCGAAAATCCAGAGTCCAGCCTCTTTTGGTTGACCAGTCCAACGCTTAAGCTGTGGAAGAGGTTTCGTAGCCACATTGCCTTTGGTACTTTCGATTCTTGCGTCTACGGAGGCCAACGCAAGAAGGCCACGACCTTCTGGTCTAATTGTAAATCCGTCACAGACTTGTCACTTCG